TGGCTGCAGGACCGTGCGATCCCGTGTGCCCCCGTGTGCTCCATGTGCTCCCGTGTGCTCCCGTGTGCTCCCGTGTGCCCCCGTGTGCTCCGGTGCTCTCCCGTGTGCTCCGGTGTGCTCCCGTGTGCCCCCGTGTGCTCCGGTGTTCTCCCGTGCTCTCCCGTGTGCTCCGGTGCTCTCCCGTGTGCTCCCGTGTGCTCCGGTGCTCTCCCGTGCTCTCCGGTGCTCTCCCGTGTGTTCCGGTGCTCTCCCGTGTGCTCCCGTGTGCTCCCGTGTGCTCCCGTGTGCTCCCGTGTGCTCTCCCGTGCTCTCCCGTGTGCTCCCGTGTGCTCTCCCGTGCTCTCCCGTGCTCTCCCGTGTGCTCTCCCGTGCTCTCCCGTGTGCTCCCGTGTGCTCCCGTGCTCTCCCGTGTGCTCGCTCATCCCTCGGGCTCAAGGGGAGCGAACTGATGTGGAGCTGGGAGGGATCAGGCGCAAGGTGAGGGTGAGTGCAGTGAAGAAAGCCAGAGCCCAGGGAGCAGGAGCGAGGAAGGATACCACAGAGCAACAGAAAAAAAAAAAAAAAACCCCAAAAAAACCCAAAACATCACAACAAAAGAGAAGACAGTAAAAGGGAGCGCAATAATGGGCATGCATTTCTCTTTCTTCTGCCCCGTGGCAAGCCGCCAATCTCTTCCACACAAATTCCTCAGTGCTACTAAAACCAGTCCCCATGGACACACCTGCCTTGAGACAAATTCTTTTAGTCTTGAAAAAATCTGGGCACTTCTTCAATAAGGCGCTTTGCTTTTAAACTGCTTTGCCTTTGTGAATTTTGGCAGCAGCTCACACTTGGAGAGCTTTTGAGAAGCCTTTCTGTAATCAGATTTCCCTGCCCTGCCCCAGGGGACTGTGGGCGAGTCACTTCCCACAGCTGTCCCTCAGCTTCCAATGCTGTGATGTGTGGCTCAGCACCACCTCAAAGGGCTGGGGCGAGGCATCGTTTGCGTGTGAAGAGCTGAGGAATAAATCCATGAGGTGCTGAGCAGCACATGACGTGCTGTGAGCGTTGTGTCACCATCAGCTCATCACTCGGGTATGGCAGGAGGTGGGGCAGACCCTGGAGTGAGGTTTCAAACACTTCACTGCCCGGTGCAAAACTCCATAAAGTGAATGAAAGAGGAGGCAGTGGAGTCATGTCACAGGACTCATTTCTTCTACACAGTAGGGCCAAGGTTTAAGACCAGAAAATATGAACATGCTTAGGAGTACCAGCTAAATACTCAGGAAAAAAGAAAATCTCTGGATGAGACTTTTCCAGATCCTTCTCATGCAGGCTATCTCCTGAGCCACTTTATGCTGGAGGTGTTTAGGGGTGGCAAAAATCCTATATTTGCATTGACAGTAGTCTCCCTTCTTTTCCTGTTCTGACCAGAGTCAGACTAGGCTGTCCACAAGTATAAAAAAGAGTCCAAATGATTTGCAGCATGGTGCAGTAGAAAAGAGCATTACTACAATTCTGTGGATACATGGCTAAAATAATGGGCATTATGACTTCTGCCCATTTCTGCCCATTCTGATTTTCTTCTGAGTGAAGTTACTAGTAAGAGTAACCTGCTCCTTCTGTCCTATTTTCTCTCTTTTTTATTCTGCGATTTCTAACCAAGCCCTTATCACATTTGCTCTGAGAAAGAGGTCAAGTTTCTCTTTATGAGCCAAGTTGCCTGTGTTGGCTTAGACTTGGTTTTAATACCATAGCTGGAAAACTTATGCTAAGTTTGCTTCCTCTTTTTTGGCAATAGATATGATCTCCCCCCTAAACAATTACCAAGAAAAAGTAGGGTCTGAAGATACGGATGCTGTCATGAGCCATGGGGAGTCTAATTCTGGCTTGGCTGCAAATTTAATTTGAAGTCTTGAGCAAGCCAATAAATTTTTCTCATCAAGTCTTCCCTCAGCAAAAGAGGGAATAGTTATTTGCCTCGTAGAGATGCTGTAGACTGAGAAAGTCATTAAATAGTTTATTTGATATGTAAAAAATCTCTTAAGAATTACATGGAAACCTTAATTAGGATTTATAAACAGGCTATTTAAAACCACAATGGGATAAAAAGTACCACCATTGAAACTAATTAATGAAATAACCATGGTAAAAACTCCTCAGATATGAAGAATGGAACATAAATCTGCAGTTGCCTGGCAGAGTATATTCCACTTGGAAAAGCAACTGCTCTTTGTTCACTATGGTGGAACAAAGTAATGGCAGACACATGAGGAAATTCTTGTAGCCTATGATACTCCTTGATCATGCCTTCCATTACTATTGGTCTTTATTTTTCATGATCTTATAACACTTTGAGCCTTTAGTGGGGGTCTGTCCTGGTGTGGTTGGTACCACAGACGCAGAAGACAATGAAGCGCCCCGCCCCAAAGAGCTTTTGGTCAGAGATCCCAAGTGCCCAGCAGTTTACATCTTACTGGAAGGGCATGTACCATTGCTCTGATTTTACACACGTGCTCAAATTCCCTCTTTTCCCCTGTTTCACATGAAGCAGAACAAGGCTGCTCATCTCTGACTGCCCCCTCAGTGGGGGCCTCGCTGTGTTTGCTTGGTGACATACCAGTGTGGGGCAGTCAGGTGCTGCTCTTGGAGCTGTGGATCTGCTCATGTGATTATGTATCAGAAACGCTGCACAAGTGGAACTGAGGCCTTCCAGGACTCTTTCCTCAGGTCATCCTGCTCCATGCTGCTAACCCTAAATGTGCAGTTGCATACAATAATCTTGGTAGGTGTGAAATAGATGTGCTCTCTGCTCTGGCAAGCTCCCTCTGTGAGCAGTAGGCACTAACTTGTCAGTTTACCAAGAGCTGATCTCCACCAACCATGTCCACCCATCCAAGGTACTAAACTGAGTGTGGTTTTCATGTAGGTCTGTGTGGCATGCTTGTTTTGTCAGCTTCGTGGTCTGCTCTGTTTGTATGGCACTTTCATTTATAAAACCTGGAATTTCTAGGGACAGGAAAAAAACAGGTATTTTGCCAGTTCTGTTCTACTTTAGGCCACTTGCAGAAGTGAGGAGCATTTCCATTGGTATCCCAGCCAAATGTCACTCCTCTAAGGCAGGTGCTGGCTTCTTCCACCAGCACTTGGCTGAACAGAGGAGTCCTCATGGGAAAGCCTTCCCCCTTTCTGAGAGAACCCTCTCCTGCTAGGAAACACGAGGAGAGGAGAGAAGGCTGCCTGACTAAAGAATGCCTTTAAAGGTCAAATAACCTTTTCAGTTGCTGTGCAATAGATTTTAAGACAAAGAAACATATAAAGAGTGGATGAAAGTATATCAGGGTAAGGGGGCATGTGAATTCAGATAGTGCAAAGTCTGTGATTTCTGTACAACCTGTGGAGACCCTTGAGAGCAGAGACCTGAGCAGGCTGGGCATGCACAGCCTGGCCAGAGCAGACAGAAAATACAGTGGGTGATGCAAGGGCAACCCTGAGAGGCAGAGCATGATGCAGCACAGGCACAGCAGGCAGGGTGCTAGTGCTGTTAATAGACACCTCTGATGGCAGTGGGACTGGCACCAGCCCAGACATTACATAAAATCAGTAGCACCAGGTGTTGGCTTCACTCAGGCTGCCTCACCCCTCTGGTGGGCTTTGTGCCGTTCTGGTTTAGGTTGGCTGTAGTGATCATTGCTTCTATGATGTTTTTGGATTTGTAGAGTTATTTGTAGAGTTTTTGGAATTGTAGAGCTCCCCTGTAGAAAGCAGAGGAGAATGAAAAACCACAGAGCTCCAAGATGGAAGGAGCAGAAATAAATTCAGTGCAGTAGAGGTCCATTTTCTGAAGACATTAAACAGCTTTAAGACTACACTAGTAAATGAACACACCCTTTTTATCACTGAGGCAACCAAAGTGGGGAGAGTGGAAACAGGCTGTTATAGGTAAAGCCAAATGAGATGTTGCCTAGTAACTCTCAGCAGGGAAGCATTTAAACCCAGCCAGTTTAGTGAAGCTGATGTTCTGAGTCAGAGATTATTTTCCCTGGAAAAAATTCTGAAGGAAGGAAAGCTCAGTTTAACCGACATAGGATTTATTTTGCTTTTAGGGCAAACCGTAATGACAATGCTTGGGCAAATGCAGAAATATTTACAAACTTGTACAAGGAAGAACAGACAAGGCATCAAAAGCAACACTTTACCAAGCCTGTTTTTTTAATGCTGATTCATTTCCCCCAAATGCAGTAAATTCCATATTGATTTTTATTTTTGGATTCTGAAATACATAAGTGATAACAGAAGTCTGCAAATATTACACATATCATTACATTATTATCATCTAATTTCTGTAAGAGAATTTTCTGGAGCAAACCCTCTTTCAACTCTGCTATTGGATACAGAATCAAAATCATTGATATAAAAGAAGAAAGACTTCATTTCTCCACTGGTTCCGTTGCCTGAAATAGTTTTAATTAGGTCCTCCTTCAGGACTTTGCTTTTATGGGTTCCCTGAAACGTCACTTGGCTCAGCTAAGGGTCTCTCACATCAGGGGAAAAAAAACCCATCAGACCTTATTTGAAGATTAATGTTATTTTTGCTTCCATTAGAAGGATATGATGATTTTATAGAAGTGTAAGATTACCGTGATCAGCCATGTCCATCTGTGTTCCTGAGTGCCACAACTACTGCTCAGAATGGGCAGTCAGGTTCAGGAGAGCACCTCATTTCACAGTCTCAATACAAATAATGATGATACCTGCAAATGTGAACTATTGCACAGTATTTTTTTTAGATTAAAAAATACAATAAGCAGATCAACACACCACACTAACCATGAAAAGACAGACTGCCAAAGAGTTAAAACAAAAATATGTATTTTATCAACAATGATAACAGCTGGAAAACAAAGCTACTACAGCATAAATACTAAAATTTGAGTTATATATCAAAAGCATGAGAGTTTTCCACAAGCATGCTGTAGGAGCAGAGAAAGAATGTTCTGGAAGCCAGAGAGAGCCACTTGTCAGTGACCAGAGCCTGGTTTAAAGTTCAATGAAATGCTGTTGATACAGAATCTCTGCCCAGAAGGTGTGGGTCCATCATCAAACACATGGCCTAGATGGGCGTCACACTGCAACAGAAATTATTACCATTTTATTATTGTCTTACTGTAAAATGACAGATTCATTTGGGCTGGGAAAGACCTCTCATTCACAGAGCCCATCTTTGACTGATCACCACCATGGCACTAATTGCCATGTCCAGTGATTTCTTGAACACCTCCAGGCATGGTGACTCCAGCACCTCCCTCAGCAGTCCACTCCAATGCTTAACAACACTTTTCACGAAGAAATCCCCACTGATGTCCAGCCTGAAGCTCCCTGGTACAGGCTCAGGCCATGTCCTCTTGTCTTGTCTCCACTGCCTGGGAGAAGAGCCCAACCCTCACCTGGCTGCACCCTCCTTCCAGGCAGTTGTAGAGAGTGACGAGATCCCCCCTGAGCCTCCTTTTCTCCAGCTAAGCATCCCCAGCTCCCTCAGCTTCTCCTCATCAAACTTGTACTCCAGACCCTTCCCCAGCTCCATTGCCCTTCCCTGGCCTCTCCCCAGCACCTCAATGCCCTTCCTGAACTGAGGCACCCAAATCTGGACACAGAACTCAAGGTGTGGCCTCACCAGTGCCAAGTACAGGGGATGGATGTTCTCCGCCCTGGCCCTTCTGCCACTCCATTGCTGAGCCAGGCCAGGATGCCATTGGCCTCTTGGCCACCTGGGCACTCTGTGGCTCATGTTCAGCTGCTGTTGAGCAGCACCCCCAGCACCTTTCCCTCCAGGCATCTTTGCAGCCACTCTGCCCCAGGCTGTAGCTGCAGGGGTTGTTGTGAGCAAGGGCAGGAGCAGGCCCAGGCACTCGGCCTTGTTGGACCTCAGAGCTCTGGGCTCTCCCCATCAGTGCAGCCTGTGCAGATGCCCCTGCAGAGCCTTCCTGCCCTCCAGCAGCTCAACACTCCCACCCAGCTCGCTGTGTCTGCAGGCTGCCTGAGGGTGCCCTGGATCCCCTCATGTGGGTCATTGATAAAGCCATTGAACAGAGCTGTGCCAGCACTGAGCCCTGGGCAGCACCACTGGTGACCAGAAACCATTGTCATTGCATTTATTATCATTGGAATTATGGACCAACGTTGTTATTACTGTGCTATCCTGAATTAAGAAACTTCCATGATTAAATCACTGCTGAGTTGTGTGAGTGGGAGAGTCCTGAGGAGTGACAAGGAATCACATCTTGTCAGTGGGCAAGCATCTGCCCCAAACAAGCCGATCCCAGAAGAGAAATTCAAATGGTATTGCCAGAAAGTATAGGAAATAAATGAGAGGATCTAATAATCTCAATATGTCATGAGAATTTCAAGTTAATAAGTCACCATAGGTCATTCTCATAGATCACCTGAGGATTCCCCTCTCAAATTACTGACATGAAAATATTAGACACAGTATAGCTATCAGTGACATTATTAACTTGGAATGTCTTCAGCTGGGGTTCTTGAAGGTGCTTGCTGCATATGGCTGTAAATGTGAACACTTCCAAGATAAAGGGCTGCAGCAAATTCTTGTTATATTTGCAGATGTACCTAAGCCTGCTGCAAGCACATGGAAGGACAGCATTAACCATCTTAACAGTTTAAAAAAACATACTCACAGCAACATAAAAAAAACCCCAATCCAGGATGCAATTTATTAAATTCAATTGCATACTTTTATACTTTAACAGAAGTAAAAAACAGATTCAGGGTTGGGAAGAAATGGTTAAAGGTGGCTGTTGCTTAGAAAAAGAACCTGGGTATTACAGCAGGTTCCAAAATAAATAAGTGTCTGTGTTATATGGTCTGTGGAAAGGTAAAGGTGTAAGGACAGGAACACCATTTCTAACACACCTGAACAGCCTCTAACCCCTGCTGCAGGCTGGGCCCAGCTGCAGTGCTGTGTCCAACCTTGCACTCTACTACAAGAAGGAAAAGGCTCAATTGGGAAGGATGCAGAACAGAGCAACAGAATGGTGAGCACACTAAAAAGCACTGCATAAAAAGGAACAGCTGATGGAACTGGAAATTTCTAGTCGAGAAAAGAGATGACTGAGAGGAGGGAAAATGACGGAGGGAGTCAAAATAGCTAGAAAAAATAGACGGGTAGCTTCTGTGAAACAAGAGAATCCACAGAAAATAGCTGTGGAGATGCAGAGCACAGCTACCATCCTGCAGGGCAAACAGTAATGGCTGCAAATGGCTTCAAGGCCTGGTCTCAATCTCTGAATATTTTAAGAACATCTACAGCAAATAAAATAAAAGGCTGAATGAGGAAGAACTGTCCCTGTGATGGGCCAAATTCATGGACCCTATCTCAGATCTTCTACCATCTCTTGTCACACCTTGCAGCACACCTTCAGTACATTTTCTCTGTGAGCTCCAGCCTTTGGCTGTACATACACAATTGCTTTCCCCAGACACATACTTTTCTTCAGCTCAGATTTGGAAAGAATGGCTCCAGTGATACTGTAATTCTCACTGTTGTATTTAGGTAGATTCAGTCATGGGCACAAAGAAAACTTATCTGCTAAGTTTTGTGTCTTTGTGTGTCATCTCCAAAATAAACAAACCTGTTTGCAGACAACTTCAGTTCTTCTTGACCCCAGTGAGTTGTCTGGTTGTCTCACGATATTGGTGTTACTTTCATCTCTGCCACAAGTACCATAAGCCTCAGAAAAAGATGGCCATCCAGTCCCAGAATTGTATTTCTTCTCTGAGCTGTAGTGGAAACCAGATCTTCTTGTTAGTTACTAACAGAGATGTTACAAAAGAGTCTGTTTCTATTAAGAACATTGGCTTCTTCTCTCATTCCTGTGTTGTACTAATATCAATATTTGGCCCAGTAGAAGTTTTCTCATTGGCATTGAACTGTGCTGGAAACTCTTTTCCAAAGGGAATTCTCAATCAGCTCACAACAGGAGATTTTGTCTCACTGTTTCTATTTCAATGTCAAGTTGGTATTTTATAAAGCTTAGAAAAGGTTTTTTTTTTTTTCTCTGACAACTATGCAATACTAACGTTATGCTATAGTGTTTAGCTGAATTTCACCTACAGAGCTGCAGTTTGAAGCCTGGCTCAATCCAGCAATCTCAGAGAAGAGAGTTCACAAGAAGAAATGAAGAGCAGACAAAGGCTGGGCTGGCCCACCAGACCAGGCTCGTGCCTGATGATGATGGAGGCTTTGTCTTGCAGTCAGCCATCAAGCTGGTTTGGAAAATCAAACAGAGCCTTGCTCAAACCATCCATCAACCAATGACAAATCCTCACAGCACAAAGATCTACTTTTCCCAAGAGATAAAGGCAGCCAGAAGAAACAGTACAACAGACTGTCAGCTTGTGGGTGCCCCTGTGAACATCCAGGGTGACCAGCACTGTTTAGCTGCATATTAAAACCCAGAGTGTATTGGCAAATGTGATCAAAAGACATTTTAGGGATTTGGTACAGAAATGAGATAATCCTTTTGGTTTCAAATTGTGCAAGTTTTGACAGCAATATGAACCTTCTCTCATCAAAGAGGGACCTAGTGTGAGTTAGAACAAGAAATTAAGATAGGTTCACATACTTCTCAGATTAGAGGTCTGGAGACTCACCACAACCATTTCCTCATGATTTCTCATGGTTTTTTCCCAGTTTTGCAAACCCAATGCTCTTACTGGCATCTAGTGGTGGATGGAGACATCAGCACCACTAGCAGCCCGATCGAGGGGATTGAAAGGTTAGTTACAGCAGAATTCAAAACAAAGTATGTAATATACATCATGTATATTTTGGTGGGTTGTTCACACGGCAAAGAAAAATCTGAAAATCTTAATTGCAGTGCCTTTTAGAAATATAAGGCAAACAAACGGGACAAAAAGCTTTAAAAATCCAACCCAAAGAACAGTGCATGAGTCAGCATTTTTATAATAATCTGTACAGGGCTGTCGTTGAGTAATGCAGCTGTGGAAATAAAAGAGGATTTGCCAGCACAGAATGACCAGAGGCTACTTTTTGTGTGGGCTGTTGCTCGGTCATTAACATCAACACACAGCCATGAGAAATGTTCTCCTTCCCCTCCTCTCCACAAAACTGGAGGGAAATAGGGCACAGCAGAGGAGCAGCCTGCTCTGAAGCTAATGCACTTTGCAGACTCTGTGTTTGTACATCAAGGTCCTCAGGGCTCCAGGCCTGTTTCTTTCCAGCTCAAGAAGGCTCCCTGTTTTCCCTGCCACAAACCCACATGAACACTGTCCCACCAGGCACAGAGTCCCCAAGAATGGCCTGGGGGATACAAATCCATACATGACTTCTGAGCTTCCCTGACATACATCTGTTCTGTTTCTTTTTATCAAAACTCTTTTATTTTTTGACACGGGAATCCTTATGTATATTCACAGATAGATACAATGATCCTCTTTGAAAACCCACAGAGTCAAGGAAGGTCTTTAACACTGTGTGGGTTTTGCATCTGACCCTGAGTGACTCTGTCCCTTACATGCCACTCACAATACTTAAGTTTATTGTAGATGTTTTCCACTGCTAAAGGAACAATCTTTTGAGCTGTTAAACTAGCTCTCAACAGAAATGGTCTCTGTGTGGTTTTATTAAGAGTAATGTCACTTAGATTCCCTAATAGAAACATTTTAGTACCCAAAAATATTGCTGTTCAAGATCATATTTGTCCTTTGAAGTATTTCACCACTTAATTTATGGATAAATGGACTTTCCCTAAACATATGCATTAGATTAGACCTCGACACACCATTCCTCCAGCACATGTCATTTACTTTGATCCCTGTTTCAGTCATCCTGGATGGAATCCAGATAATTTTAAAAAGTGCTTTTTGCTGTATGAATCTCAGCTGTAGGTTTATGGTTTGATGAAGGTTTGAGTTTTCATTAAAGCACAACAATTTGCTATCTATAAAGGTTAGGGGTTTGTTCCATGTATTTCCAACTCTTTCAAATGTATATTTGGTAGCAGAAGGTACTAAATTATGATTTAAATGTATACACACATGTTTCAAAGAAAAGAAGAAATACTTCATGTTTACCTGCAGCTAATGATCTAACGCATTTGCAAAAAACAAAAATTCACAAGAATATTTTTAATGGACTAGGAAATAAATATGATGAATTGATCTCTTATCCAATACCACTTCTCCCCCTCATTCCTTGTGTTCTCCACAGCATAACATCTCCATGGAAAGCATATTTTCAGGTGATTTTTCACATTTAATAGTTTCCTTTTTTCCTACAAGATTTTTTTTTCCTGAAAGTTTGGCCTTTTTTGTCTGTGAGGCTTAGCATTATCTTGTGCTGCAAAGAAAAGTGCTTATATTCTCTGAGAGCTGGATAGTGCAAAGGGCAAGCCTGGCTGTTTGGTTATATTGCTGTTTTGTTACTAGTTTAACAACAGAAGCAATTTCCCCCGGTGTTTGTCTCTCTTCATGTTGGCCTGTCAATATCAATTGTCTAATATAAAAGGGGCCAAAATTGAAGGAAAACCTGAAGGAATGGAAGGAACTCTTCCACAGCTTAGTACTTTTTCCACAGTTTAGTACAATTTCTCTAATTTATCTGAATTTTCCAGAGGTGTTTTTAGGTTTTATATTTCTCTTCAGAATATTTTGTAATACTGAGATAACACCAGAAATCAATTTATTTAGAAGTATTCATTAGCAAACCTCTATGGAAAATTATACATGTAAGCAAATGCATGTTTGCATAACAATAGTTTTCTGCACTTGGCCAATTATACACAATTACCATTTAATTGCTTAGTTTAGGTTTATTTTCAATACATCCATTACATTTTCCCCTCATTTCTTACTATCCAGATCTCTTGATCCTTACCATCCCATTTGAAGTTCCGATCTATGATTCATCCTTTAAATCAGCCACGTTTCATTCAATTCTCAGTTGGGAATAAATAAGGGCTATTTTCTAGACCAAAAATATGAGAAACTGTCTTTCCTGGTTCATTAACAGAGAGCAGAACACTCTCTGCACATCCTACTCCAAGGCACTCTATTTCCTTTTACTTAGACTTTAATGAAGTTGCAAAATACGTAGTATTGTAAAGAGCACAGAGGTTAACTGTGCAATCATTTGCAGCCAGGCTTTAAAAAGTAGATGTAACCAAAAAGGCAAGAATAGTGGGATTTAATTTAGGGAACAAGGAGGGGGTGGGGGTGAAGAGAAGGTCTCAGCTGCAGTGTGAGGGACCCAGCAGTGAGAACATCACAATAGTGGACAAAGGCAGACCAAGGTCTCTCCAGCCCAGCAGCACGAGTGGCAGAAGATGAGTATGGAGGAGCACAAGAACAGAGCAAACACACAGTGACACTCATGCATAAATACATGGATTTTGCAGCAGCTTGTGTCTTAAGGACCTCTTAACCAGAGAATTATTCTCAACTAGAAAGTGTGTCATGAGAAACATGCAGACTACAGCCTGAAGCTGTGTGCTGGCCATGGGCAATCCTCATCAGCTCAAGGACAAGGCATACCATGGATCTGTGTCACCACAGGCATCCTGGAACACTTACACACAGCACTTGGGCACCAAGGGATTGTTCTTCTGACCAACACTTTCCATGCCATTCATGAAAAGACTTTGCCCTTCCTGCCACAATCAGTACATGTTAAAGATGCTGGGAAATCCAGAGGATCTTACCTGAAGAGGGGGGCATTGCAGCACACACAGCAGTATATTCCTGATTCTGTGTTATTCAGGTAGATCCCACTGAATGGCTTTTCAAATAGGAAGGAAAAAAGAGAAGTTAATAATGTAGGTCTTTAAAAGCTCACCATCTGGAAGAAGCATGTAGGAATCAGATTCAAAACAGGAGAAAAACCATAAAAAGAAGGCTTTGCAGGGGGGCTTTGAAGAAGAAAGATTAGCAGCCTGAAAAAATGAAGGGGAGGATGCCTTTGGGCTAGCAGTGAAGGCTACCCCCTACCCCCACAAACTTTGAGACCGGTCAGATGCGTAAATCATCCAGGTACCAAGGATGGAGTCGTGACCTCCAAGAAACTGGTGAAATGTGCAGGATCCCAAAGGCCAGGGCTCTGCTATGGACTGCCACAACTTTAAAGTGGCTTTACAAAGAGACTCTCCTCCTTCCTGCATGGTCTGGTACTGGGATCCTTATTTTACAGATATGGATTTGGGCACAGATCACACGGTACGTGCTCCATGTGTGCAGAAGTCCTGTCTCTGGGCTAGGGACAGCCAGCACTCCACCCACAATGCTACATGGCTTCCTTCCCAGAAGGAGGAAATGTGGGGACATGTGGGTGGGTGATCTGGCACCTGAGGGAGAACCCATCTCCTGAAGGGAGCACTATGTTTAAGACTTCCATGGCTAATCTACATATGGCCATAAAAAGGAGGCTACAGGATAAAAATATCTGAGGATCTCCCTGTCCTCCGGACGGGCCTCTACTCCCACCACACAAACAGTTAATCTGGCAGGAAAGTATCCCAGAAAAAAAATCCAATAAAATATGAAAAGAATGCAGAATGTTTTTCATCTGCAAAACAGTCTGGGTCAGAACAAAATCCACCCTGTTCCGTATGTTGAGTCTAACTTTCATCCACAGGAAGGCAGGGGAAGTCCTGTGAAGAAAGGGAGTGGTGAGAGCTCCTCAGGGCAGGATTTTCTGTGCCCAGCAGGCAGAGGAGATGCTCACCCTTGGGCAGCATCAGCATTTCTGCTCACCGGTTCTGTTCCTTTTTCTCGCGTGACATAGAATTGCTCCGGAGTCAGTTTCTTTTTCCAGTCTGTAGCAGCAGCTGCTTGAGCTTGTTTAGTGAGGGGGTCTGTGTCTTCAATTAGATATAAAAAGATAATTTAGTAAGATAGCTTAGATTCCACTGATGCTTTCCATCATCATCTCAGTTCTCCAAAAGTTTCTGTGGGTACAGACAAAGCACAGAGGGCAGTTCAGGGGCATGAGCAGGGGCACATGCAGGACTTTGCATCTGCTTTCCATTTGGAGTGCTGCATCCAGAGAGCAGCTCCAGCAAACCACTTGGGAAGGTTTGTAAAGGAAATGGGCACCTCCAACCCCAGGTACCATCTACTCTCCCAGCACAGCCCTCTGCCCTGGCTCAGGATAGCAGCTGGTCTGCCAGTGCTCCTCCTTCATCCCTGGATAGCACTAAAAGGTCTGGAAAACCTCTTGGAAACCCTCAGAAACCAGAAGTAATGTTCATCTGTGGGCTGTGGAACACTGGCAACTCCCACAGGCCCCAGTGAAAAGTGGTGCAAAGAAGGACTGCAAGGCAGCAACACCTACAGCCAAGGGGAATGGGGCCACAGTTCAGTGAGGGACACACAACAGCAGAGCAGAAGTTGCCCATTATGGTGCAAACCTCCAGCAACATGTCCTGTGAGTCTGTACACACCAAGAACGCTTGTGGTGGTACAGGATTGGCAAAGAATTAATAGACTGGCTGAAAAACAGGGAGTAAAATAGTTTAATACTCTCATAAACAAAAAGTTTGAGGTGGGGAACTGCCTCCCAGCCTGTCTCCCATCAGCACAGGATCCTTGATAAACAATCAGCTCCTGAGGAGCGAATGCTTGCCTGCAAGGTAGGGGTGAGACTTGGGGCGGGGGAAATTAATTTGAACATGATAGTTTAGCCAAAAAACCTAGAGCTTAGCCTGCCAGTTCAAGACAAAAACCTACAGCATGCTAACGCAGCCCTCCTTAAGCGGCCAGAAGCCGGCGAGCAGGGGCTCCTTTCCCCCTCCCCATGCGGTACCTGTGTCTCTGTGCGCAGCGCGGGCGGCGCTCGGCAGCGGGAGGAGCGGGCGGCCGCTCCCGAGCATCCTCCCGAGCATCCCTCCGAGCATCCCTCCGAGCATCCCCCTGAGCATCCCTCCGAGCATCCTCCCGAGCATCCCCCTGAGCGGACGAGCCGCCATAGCGGCGGGGCGGCACCGGGAAAGATTCCGTGTGTAATCCCTGCGTTCCACCTAAAGAATCAGACCTCATAAAAGCAATGAGCAAAGCACCCGCTTAAATGCCGATGCAGCATTTGCAGGTAAAGGTTTTAATCACTTCTTACCGAGAGCAGCTTAAAAATGAACACTCGCTGCGGCTGTAAACGTAACAAAATCCTGTTGAGACGTTTGCTTGCAGCTATTCTAGGTTGTTTTTAAGGAGAACAGGTCTGGTACTTGCATGCAAAAGCACTCCTGCTGTCCTGGATGCGTGTTACAGGCACTGATCTCAGCGCTGTTGCTCAAGGAATGGCGAAGGAGCTGTGCTGAGCCTTTCCTGCTTTGTGCCATCTGAGGGTTTCCTGTGGTGATTTGCAGTCACAGCTGCCTTAGCTTGGCCTATAAATATACCTGTAATAGGACACGTGTGTTAGTTTGGCAGCCCGTCCTTAAAAGGTAGATCTAAACACAACTTAGTTTTCTAGGTTAAGCCTTAATGCTACTGTCTGCTTCTGTTCCAATAATTTCATTTCTGATTTGGAATTAGTTCATCATTTCAGAAGGATGGGGAAGGAAGTGTTTTGATTACATTGGACAACAAAGCTAATAATGATGCTAATAATAAACAAAGTTAACAATAAATTTACTTTCTTTTAGTCTAATTCTTCTAGCCTAATTCTAAAATCAAAGCTAAAAAATAGTCCTGTGTGATCAGTCCTGAATATACACGTTTGTATTGAAGCATCCTTATGCCTAAGACAGTGAATTCCATGGCAGCTGAGGACATCCAAGACAGCATCTGATCAGTACCCCGGCTGCAATCACTGCCTCTGCTCGGATCCACAGAGCACTGCAGCAAAGCACGAATGTCAGCGAGGCTCCCCCGTGCTGCAGAGGGGAGCAGGGCACAGCTGATTTATGGCTTTGTTCTGTGCAATAAGACACGGTGGAGTGAAGGCAGAGTACCTGGATAAAAACCCTGGAGTGGGATGCCTGTGAGTCCTCAGGACTGTGATTCAGGGTGTTAGGAGAGCAGTGCTGCTGGCAGGGAGGAGAGGGCTTTGCCACCCCACTTTGGTGCTGGCAGAAGGCAGCATCCATGCTATAGGCAGAGGGACAGCATTTTTCCATGTTCAGCCATTTTGGCAAGTGATGGTCCTGTGATCTTTCCATACACTTTCTAACTTACCCCTATGGCATATCAGCCATGTAGCCATGGTTTTGGAGGGAGGTGAAACAGGTTAGGGAGCCTTTGGTGAGGAGAGACCCAGCCTGACACGTCCCCAGTTCTGGCAAGTGGCTTAGGGCTAGAAAGTGGTAGCAGGTGATGGTGTCACTCCTGGCCTCTGCCTCTAGTTCAGCTGTAGAAAAGAGGCATTTCCCTCACATTCCTGGTGTTAATCTCACTCAGATGGTGTTTGCTCCTGAGGAGGACAGGTAATCAATAGAGTTCTCCCTGAATTATCTGAGAAATGAAGGAGGCTGAGAGAAAGTGGTTAGTCCTGCAACTTGCATGTTTTAATGTAATTGACATCGATTTAACTGGTGCTTTTTTTAAAGACAAAATTAAATAAAAAATCAGCTGTCAGTATCTTTCTTGCAGGTCTCTGTTACTGGTACCGTCCCAAAATGCAGCAGTTTTGAGGCAGTGGGAACTGAACCAACACAGTTCTGCTGCTGTACCATTTTCCCCAGATTCTGGAGGAGGGAAGTAGGGGTCTGGGGGGCAGTGGGAGCAGAAGGAGCACAAGGCATCAGGCTCATCAGCCCAAGCCTCATCATCCTCTCAGTTACCCAGTTCATTACAAGCCACTCCGTGATTAAAATGAGGGGGGTGGTGGAAGAGGCAGATCCCATTCATCCCAACAGCTGTGATCCATATTTGAGGTGGTGCATGGCAGACCAGGAGAAAATCCTCCATTTTTCCCTCCAACAGAAGCCTGACCTGCAGTCATCCAAACCAGCATGACAGGTCTTCCTCAAGTGGAAAACAACCCCCCAGCTGGAGGTAATTCATTTTTCAGATCTCCAGTGCTGAAAAACCAAATCATTGTCCTGTCATGCCTGTAATGTTGCCTCCCATGGTTACAGCACACACCAAGCCGTGTAGCTAGGCAGACATCCGGCCTGCCTTTCTCCCCATAGACTGTTCTGAAAGCCAATTAAACTGTTACTCATTTTCCTCCTATTTTTTTTTTTTCTTCCTTATGCACAAGCGGAAGCATTTAAAAATCTCCCCTAGCTACATTATGTAAATTTCTAAGTAAATTCTCCCTGAGTTGTAATTCAGCAGATTTATTGTTAAAATGTCACCTGTCTCCAGCATGTACACAAGCTGCATCCAGGGGAGGGTCACTCATCCAAAGCACAGTGTCCCATTAGACATCTGTGGATGGGGAGAAGCTCCTCAGCTCCTCCTGTAGTGTGGCTCTGTGCCGAGGCAGCAGCAGCAGCAGCACATGTGCAGGTGAGAGCAGAAGGGAAGAGGGAAGCAGTCACAGCCCAGACTATCCTGCTAATATTTATTCAGGCTCCAGCCATTTCCCAGCTCAGGCTCTGCCTGGACTGATGGCTGTGGGGACAAGCAGAGCATCATGTAATGCCTGTGCTGGCAGATACTGAGCACTCAGCCAGGCAGCAATGAGGTGAAGAAGTGAAAAAAAAAAAAAACCTGTTCAAATTCAAACCTCTGCTTACACAGCTTTTGTTAAAAAATCCCCCTGACATTACCATGTATGGAAGAAAATACTTGAAAGAAATTGTGGGGGTTTACTTTATATGTATTTGCATGCAATTGGTTTTCCTCTGCTCACTTTTTCAGACCTATGTGTGTCCCCTCCTATGGGGTGGTTCCACTGAAACATGTGGGAGCTCACCATGAACAATTTGTCTTGTATGTAGGGTGCTGGCATGAGGCACTCAGGGGTGGGTTGTATCTGTGGGGGGCTCTGTTTCCTCCATGGAAACTCTCAATGCTTTGTAGGAGATGCTGCAGGAACTCCACATCCTTCCTCAGCAGAGTCTTCTCTCTCTTCCATAGACTGGATACAGCTCCACAGCCAGCTTCTAGCTGCTCAGGTGTGGTGAAACTATGAGGTCCTGGTATATGGAGATACTGTTTCCACATGGAAGCACTATCTAAAGATATGTGGTAGTGCTCTGGTGCTGGATTCCAGTGATGGAAAGGGATTTTGGCAAAATTTATTAGAAGCAGAAGTGTCAAAGTACCTTGGAAAAGTGTACTGCTGGTTTCCAGAGACACACAGAGACTGAATGCAGATCTGAACCTCCCTGAAGCTGATCTATGGATTCTGCTTAGATTCATTTATGGAGCAGCCTGATGTGATTCAGATCAAAGACATCATCAGAAATAATGAACACACAACTTCTCACTTTGTTTGCTTTATGGTTTATTATCTCTTTTTCCTAATCATAAGCTAGAGGACACCTGATTATTCTAACCTTTGTTTTTGGAACGTAATAGGTCATATTTGTGGCCTAGCTTAAGTGGGAGCTTTCTCTTGGAGTCTAAGGGTGGAATTTGAACAGGACAGAATAGAACAGAATAGTTCCAGTTGGAAGAGACCCAGGGGTTTGGTCCACTGTGACAAATGCTTTGAGTTGGATTAGACCAAGTGCCCTCCATAGGGCCTGTCCAGTATAGAATATAGCATATAGAATCCTAGGATTCTAAATGCTTTGAGAAATTTCCTGCATAACAAGTGAAGGCATGAATTCAAATTTAAATGGGAATTTGCAATCACTCCTTGATGGAAAACTGAACTCTGCAATTGAGCCATTGGTTCAGCTAAAAGTAGACATGCAGTCTGGTATGGAGAATGTGTATCTTCAGGGGCAGCTATTGGGAAGCAACAAGTCCAGGATATTTCTCTACATTACCCTGTGCATCCCCTATACCATACCATCCAGTTCCTTGAGCAATGTAGACAGTAATAATACATTTCACAAATTTGTGTGTGATTTCTTATCCCTTTTACCCCATGGTAGTGAAGAACTGAGATGGTTCTTCCACACAGTACCCAAGGCCTGAACGAAAAATTGAATGAACACTTATTTGGCAGCAACTGTCACAGCAGCAACTTTCTGTAGGTTATCTTAATGGATTTATCACCCTGAACTAAGCCCTGACCATCTGTTCTCTTCTCTCATTACAAACACAGAAAAAGCTAATTCATGATTGCATCATAAAAAAGTAAAATATAAATGATTTAAGAGTAGGGCATGCTTCACACTCTGATTAGGAAAATGCTTCTCTTCCTAGAGTGACTTCCCTGATAAGAGTTTGCCTTTTTCCCAGCAAATGGGAATTACTGAGGAATGAGGCTCACTAGAACAAGTTTTATTTGCACTCATTCATCTTAGATGTATTTTTAAATTTGGGATTCATGTAAGTGAAGTAATGAATCTTCCTTTCCTTCTCTCTTAGGTGAGCCCCCAAAGATTTATTTTTGTTGGAAAAACTAGCATTCTGTTCTCAAGGCATGAGCTGGTTTTCCACTTCACGAAAATGAAGTGCCTGGTGGCAATCTGGCCCAGCACACCCTGCTCCCACTGGAACAGGAGTTGGGGTTTCTTTTCCAGGACCTATCTGAGCAACTCTGAACTGAGCAAAAACTTCTCCAGCTTCATGTGATATAAAATCTGTCCAGATCTATGGGGACAACCTTCTTATGTGGGAACCTTAGGTGAGGAGCTTTTGAAAAGGCACAGTGTACTGAGTCAGTGGTAAAAGTTTTTGTCCATATCTTCTATGTAGGAAGAGGGTAGAAAGGATCAGAGCAGGCTCTAGGTTTCACATGGACCTCTTGTTTCTACACCATACTGCCATTCATCTAGCAAGAAAAAATTCTGATAAAACAGGTATTGCTAACCCATTTAGAGTGAACTGCTTTAATTTCTGAGTGCCAAACAAAGATACCTCCCCACCATACCTAATGTCCAGCAGTGTTTCAGTATCGAAACTGAGCACTGACCTGACTGAAACCTGTGCTACTCTCTACTACTGAATTTCTGTGGTCAGCAAATTCACAGCAAGAGGCAACAATGCACTGAATCTGTGGCAGCCCCTGGATGAGGCACTGGAACACGTTCCCCTGAGAAGCTGTGGATGTCCCATGCCTAGAAGTGTTCAAGGTCAGGTTGGATGGTGCTTGGGACAGCTTGGTCCAGTGGAAGGTGTCTCTGCCCACTATGGGGGTTGGAATGAGATGATCTTTAGGAGCCCTCCCAACTCAAACCATTCTAGGATTCTGTGACTCCCTTCCCTTCTCT